CCTTTTCCTGTGTCTCCACTACAATGAATGCCAGTTCTCTAAAGTCAAGGATCCTGCCATCTATGTGCAAGCAAGTATGTGAGTGTATGCATATATGAGTGTGTATGAGTGTGTGTGTGGGGGGGAGGCCAGAGGTCAACACTGGTGTTTTCCTCAAACATTTTCCAACTTCCTTTACAATATCTTTCACTGAACCTGAGCTTGCTGATTGGCTAGACTAGCAAGTTAGAAAGCCCCAGGAGTCTCACTGGCAACTGGGACTACATGTGCCTAAAACACTGTGCTCAGTTCTGTATGTGGGTGCTGGGGACCTGAACTCACCACCCAGCACTAGGATTACAGTGCTCAGCTTTGTAAGTGGGTGCTGGGGATCTGAACTCATGTCCCTAATGCTTGTGGATGGAATACTGACTGACCTATCTCTCCAGCATCTTATTAAGTTGTTTATTATCAGCATATATTAATTAGAAACAATAGGTTTCATTATGACATCTTCATATGAATACTTATTTTAATCATATTTACCCCCTTCATCTTTTACGCCTGGCACTTCCACTGTCCCCTTCTCCTCCCAGCTAGCCCCTCTCATACTTTCATGTTTTCTTTTTGCTGTTGGTTTAGGGACCCAGTGGCTTATGGGAGCATAGGGGAAGGTTCCTTTATATCAAGGACATCTTATCAGTAGATAGACCTTTAAGGAAAATGCCTTTTCTTCCTTCATCGACTTCATCAACTACTTATATAGATCCTCAGGAAGGGCCAGGGCCTATGAACCTCTCCTCACTCCATGTACAGGAGTGTGGTTGGGCCCTACCTTGTATAGATTTTGTGCAGGTGCTCACAGCTGCAGTGGCTTCAAGAGTCAAACAGCCACATCATGCTCAGAACGCAGCATTCTTTACCACTCCCCAGCCTCCTCCTGCCCTTTCAGTCCTTCTGCTTCTTCCTCAGCAGCGTTTCCCGAGCCTCTGAGGGCCTGATGGCGATGTCTCATTTACAACTGATTCTCAGAACTTGACCAGCTGTGAGGCTCCAACCTGCAGGGGTTTTGTTGGCTGTTTTTCCTCATCTCTTTCTACCACTGTGATACTAAAATCCCCCTCAGCATCCCCCCCTCACTATGGGCTTTGGCGATTAATTCACCCACTTGCTTAGGAAGTTGCTTTCCACCTGAGAAAATTAAAAACATCACTCCCAGGACAGGGATGTGGGACCATAATGGGAACCACACAGATATGAGTCTATCCTGCTATGGTGTATACCCAATATTCATCAAAGAACACAATGCGTGGCCGCTTCCAATGCATTCCTCCCAGACAGCCTAAGTGCCCAGCTCTCAATAATAATTCCTTTTGTAAAAATTAGAGGAACCAGTGACTTTATTTTTGAACATAAATCTCAACTTTCCCCCACTGTAGCAAGCTATATTTACTATCATGCTAACTCTACACGTGTTCTCACCACTCCTCTATCCTTATTCTTATGAATGTAGCATACACAATCCGGGAAGACCAAGAGCTGCAAGGAGCTCCTTAATGGATGGATGCTGCTAAGTTTAACTCCTACACAATCCTCCAGACACCACACACACCAAAGAAGGCAGGTTTTGTGTGCTTGGTCTCCAAAGACATAAAACACAAGGCACTCACAAGCCATATGGAATTAATGAGACAAGTCATAGGGAAACTCCCCCTAGCTGGTACTGCCATGTGCAAAAAAAATCCGGTACCCTGGTTTTCACAGGACTCTGCTCCATGTTTATATTTGCAGGCCTTCCAGTCCCATTTATCAGGGTTGAGGGTTGGGTCACAGTTTTAGAGTTAGGATACAGGAATACTGTGTTAAGAGAAAACCAGGTACTCTGCAGGACACACTTTTTAGTTCATTTCTGGTATTTATTTCTTTTGGATTCTGAACTCTTATTATCAAATCTGTTATTAACCTATCTCTCTCTGAGTCTCCTTCAGACTTCAGTTAACCAACATTTTTGACACTAGTTGTCCGTGGGTCAATCAGCAGGGAGGAAGAAGTCAGGGGAAGGTTGGTGCTTGGATCAGTTTAAAGTTAAGCACAGTAACACAGTAACCAGAAGTCTCTCCTACAGCACAGCGAAAATTCTGAAAAACATCCAATTCTGTGCTTGCTGTTCCTGCGAACTATATGACACTAATGTTCCTTTGTCTTTGGGAGTGATTTATAATTTACAGAGGCAAATGATCTCATTTAATCCACTCCCCCTCCTCTCCCAGGGACCCCATGAGGCAAGGGAACCACCACTATGAGATAATGCTGGAGCAGCCTGGGAAATTCCACCATAGGTGATGGATGATGGGGGATTGTCTGGGCCCCTCGGCTTTCCCCTCACTATAGGCTTTTGTGATTAATTCTCCCACTTGCTTAGGAAGTTGCTTTCCATCTGAGAAAATTAAAAACACCACTCTCTGGACAGGGATGTGGGATCATAATTGAGAACCAAATAGAAAAAGATTTACACAAAAACACAAGCTCAGCAAAAGAGAAAACTCTGACATTGCTAACAAGGAATAAATCAAATAAAGGCTATTAGCAAGCCCCTGGTGTGTGGGGGAAGCCTTTGAAATGTTTTGCTGAGCTCTAAACAATGTCATTTCTACCTGAGGTGTTCAGATATCTCTAGGGTAATTTGGCCCGCACTGTCCAGCACTGCCGTGGACACCTGCCAGCGAGAAAGACCTCACGCAAAACCCCAAGAGTGCTAGAGAGGGCGCCTGCAGATGTCTATGATCTTTAGGGCAGTAGGGTCTTCCTCAGCCAAGCACTCCTGAAACAGTGTTTCCTATTCAAGAGGATGAGTGGATGGCTGGCTGGGAGGCAGGGAACACACACTGATGGACCCACCCATTTTGCTAACACCGCTACCAAAGGCTGAACCAGGACTTTGCTTCTCTGCCTGTGGGTACCAGAGCCATAAGAACAATCAGGTCAGAACTGGGATGACATGATTTCTTCAATCCAACCCAGTATTCTGTACCTAGACTTTCCTCTGCATTTTCTTTTATGGAAAATTAAAAAGCACGAGCTATGTTAGCTGGCAACATAGTCGGTCAGTAGGGACCTTTTCTGGAGGTGTGTGGGTTGATGTATTAGTGTCCACGGGATAATCAGGGGAATGAAGCATAGACAGCATTTGATCTGTCCTCTGAATGAGTTCATCAAGAATGAGAAAGACAAAAAGAACACCCTGCTGCAGGTCAATTCCTACCAGTGCAACTTTGAGCCACTCGGCATGCTAACCAGGGAGGGTGGCCCTATCTAGGCTCCCAGGGTAGTGAGACAGAAGGCGCACAAAGGTCTCAGGCCAACCGCACACCCTGAGCAGCGGCTCCTTGCCCTAAATGTCCAGTTGGCTCTTCCCTTCTGTTAGGATTTGTATAAAGAGAACATTACATTTTAGTGTGACCAGCCTTCCTTACGGGGGAATACCACTTGTTAGTCTCTCACAGGCATATCCAATCTCTGATATTGTTACATGATGTCATTTATAAAGTTCACATTTGAGAACTGCACAACTGAGCTGTAAAAATAAAATCGCAGAAGAAATATTTCATCACGTTTTAAGTAGGTGTACAATTCTATGTTGTGCCAAATTCGCCTCTGTTTTAGCATGTAGCTTGTGGGCCAAGGGTGGGCCATGCCTAGAGCTCCCTGGCAGTGTTGCTTTAGATCAGATCCTGCTATCACTAAACAAGGCCAAGGTGACTCTATGGAATTATGTTTAAGGCACAACCATGAATGAACGCTTGCCCTGCACGTTTTGAGTGCCAATGAGGGTGACCTGAGGCAGCAGTAATTTGCTGTGACGGGCACCTGAGCAGTGGCTCACATGAGGTGGCAATGCTTTGATATGGGCCGAGCCTTTATTGGTGTCCTATAAACCACTTGGTAGGAGCCCATCTGGGTGCTGTTAACAAAGGCAAGGCCACATTCTTCAATCCTTCCCTCTTCTTGCAAAGGCAGGAGTGCATTCTTCAACAATCCTCCCCTCTTCTGGGACTTTTAAGCTCACAGGCAACTCTTCTGTCTCACACCATGATTTCTCCTTGCCAGCAAGGCTTCCCAGAGTCCAGCTGTTGGGTCATTTGGTCAGCATCTTTTGCTCCTAATGTCACAATTCAACAAACTTAGGCAGCAGGCTTGGCTGGGGAAGCTCCATGATAGAAGTATCTGCATGGTCTTGGATTTTACTGTAAGGACAGAGCACTGTACCCAGTGTGTGCTTCCCTTTCTAAGCTTGCCTAAGTCAGCCCACCACTCCAGTTTGTCTCTTAGAGTTGTCACAAGATATCTGCATCTTGAATCCTCTCAGGTAGCATCTGTGTCACCCTCACCCAAGGGCTTCAATGGTGGGACTAGCTTCTATTTTATTCTGTTGGAACCGAGTCGGGTTTCAGAAAGTCATCGAATGAAATTGAATCACCTAATCATTGGGAGCAGGAAAGTCATTTCATTCAAACCCCTGAGGTTTGGTAGGGTGGTCTATCAACATGGATACTGTAACCAGCCCCTACCCCCATCCAACTGGAGACAAAAGGTACCTTCTAGCCAGGATGTGACCCTGTAGGACACATGGCCCATTTCAATTTGTAGGGTAAATTCTCAAGGCCCCCAGAAGCCTGACTCCTCCAGCCGATGTCAGCAGAAACAGAATGCTCAAATCAGAAACATGTGCTGCGATTGTAGGATAATTTGCAATTTCTAGATAATAGCATCCTTTCCCACTGCATCCCAGGGAAGAGGCCAGCCCTTGTGTTATGTGGCATCGAAGCTGGCTGTCCATGACTCGCCAGAACACACAGTCCTCCCTTGCTCCTTGTGCACGAATTTCTTTCATGAGACTTCTGTGTATTCTTCAATCAGAAAACTGGGGGAGGGAAGCATTTCCTCTTTTTCTAAGATGTTTCTCAGCACACAATTCAAGCTATGCACAACTCACTCTTGGGCCACTGGAGCCTGGTACTTACCCTGTGGAAGGGTTCATGATGCATCCTCCTTTCTCTGCAGCCATCCTGCAGCTGCAGCCCCTCTCCAGTGTGTCATGGTTCATTCCGAAATTGTGGCCCAGCTCATGTGCCAAGGTCACGGCAGCACCAAGGGGGCTATCTGAATGGTCCTCAAAGGGAATACAAGAGCACAGATTTACAGTTCACACCTGCTTGGCCTTTTCTCACTCATCTTCTCGCCCCTTGGCATTTTCCCATCGTTAATACTTGGTTTAACTGAATTCCCCATAAGGCCCAGTACAGAGCCTTGCTATTAACTCTGAACATGGGAAGTAATTTGGCCTATTTCATTAAGCCCATTTGGGGGTTCTTCTGGTGAAGGCTGTCTCATGTATATGTGAGGATTCTTTGCTGATCTCCCCTCTGCAAAACACCATTGAGAGAGGCAACAAAGTTATTCCCAATGATAGAAAGCATAAGGCTACCTGATCAAGAGGGTGTTGAATGGAAGATGCTTTTAAATCATCCCTGAACAGCTAGACTTAACCCTTTTCCTTCCTTTCTGCCTGGTAGCGGAGGACTCTGGGAAAGTTCTCGACAACCCACAATAACAACTGATCTGAATTAAGATTAAGAGTTATGTCTCACTCTTTCTGGGCCTTTACATGGACCCTGGACATAGAGAAGTTCCCATTCTCTGATAGAGCTGATGGGTTCACATTAACCTTTGGCTACCAGCAAGTATTGCTGGCCACCTCAAGCATACTGGAATCCCTAGACAGCTTGACTTAAGTAGACACTTAAAAACAACTAGGAATATAGTTAACTTAAGAATTGCTAATTGGCAGGTGTGATTTGTATAAATTCTGCCAGTGAATGGAGTTTTAGAAAAGGTGTTCAGACCCTGGGGCAAATAAATATCTTGCTTGAATTTTGTTTTGGGTTACCAAAAAGAGATAGCAGGTTTTCCACAATGTATCCAGAAGAGAGTATAACAATGTATTCTAGAAAAACTCTTGTTTCCAGTCTTCATGAGGATGCTGGGTAAAAGTGTGTTTCTGTGAGGCCTTATGGATTTAGTGGTGGCACCATCAAGGGCGGGACTTTCTCACTAGTCCATTGTCTGGGACACAGTAACGTGCCTAGGAAGCACGTTGTTCTTAGAATAGATGAAATTCCTGATAAATTACTTCATTTACACCTCAAGTTTCCTGTCTAGGAAGTACTGTAGCCATGTTCCAGGAAGGAGTTCTTAGTCAGGAGCACTGGTGGAGGGAAGGTTTCTGCTGCAACATGCGGATGGCCGAATTTCCTTAGCACACTTGGGCACAAAATTCAAGAACTTGCTCCTCAAGAGTACTCAACTGCTGGTTTTTCTATTCTGTGGAACATCACAGTTTTCTTTCTAATTATTTAAGTTATTTTACATCACACTTAAGTGATTATACAGAACTATCTTAAGGGTTACTGGTAATCTCTTTATATTTGCTTACAATGAGGAAGAACACATCTTTTTGTGTGTCTGATAGCATGTCCAAATCAAGAGGGATTTTTGTTGTTTAGGTTAGTTAGACACAAAGACATGGCTTTAAATTACTAAGAGTAGCAGCTGACTTTATCTTGAATAAATGGGGAGGTAGTCTTAGAAGTCATATTTTTGGCTATTTGTGAACCATTTCCTTTCTTTGTATTTGAGGGTCACTGGGTATGGTGATGGTCACACCTAATACATATGACTCCAACTTCAGGGGAAAGCTAGTGTAGACATTTTGGGTCTGGGTTGCCTCATGAATCCTATAGAAGTTAAAGCTACTGCATGATGGTATTTCCACCCTATTTGATATTTCCCTGTGGGATAAGAAGGGTGTGTGTAAAGAGTCAAGACCATGCTAGAGAACCCTACAGAACCAGCTGACCTGACCTAGTGAGAGCACACAGACCCCAGGTGAAAAGCTGGGAAACCAGCATTGGACTGAACCAAACCTTTTGAATGTGGGTTCCAGTTAGGAGGCCTGGGCAGGCTATGGAACTTCTAACAGGGGAACCAGTATGTATCCCTAGTACGCAAATGGACTTCAGGAGCCCATTCTCTATGGAGGGATACTATTTCAGCTCAGACACAGGGAGGAAGACCTAGGCCCTCCCCCAAATGATGTGGCAGACTTTGATGATCCCCCATGGAAGGCCTCACCGTCCTTGGGGAGTGAGTGGAGGGTAGGTTGGGGGGATTGGTAGGGGTGGCATGGAAGGGAATAGGGGAATTGATATGTAAAATGATTGCTTCTAAATAAAAAAGAAAAAAAACCAAAATAACAACAACAACAAAAGATGGTATTATCTGCCATCTAATTGGTAGAACAAACTTCCTTAAAATTTTTATTCATTTTTAATTATGTGTGTACATGACTGTGTCTGTGTGTGGGTTTGTCCATGTGAGTGTAGTGACCATGGAGTCCAGGAAAGGGTACTGGGTCCCTTGGAGCTGGAGTTACAGGTGGTTAGGAGCTGCCTGACTTGGGTCCTGGAAACCAGAGCCAGGTCCTCTGGAGGAGCTGCACTGTCAACTCTTTATTGCTGAATCATTTCTTCAGCCCCCTGGACAATTAGCTCTGGACCTGACTTTATTCTAATGACATGACATCTAAGTTGCATCTATTCTTATCTCTCTTTCACATATTTAAAACAAACAGTTTTTTCTGTATGATTTTAAAGAGGGAATCTTGGTACTTGCTTCTTCGAAAATAGAGCAAGAGAGAGCTGATGAGTCCTTTACCCTGTCATGGGGAACATGGGATGCTTCAGCCTCATAGAGCGGCAGGACCCACTTTGCTTATGAAGAGCTCCATTTTGGCTCTTAAACGTATTTGTGCCAGTTTTAAGTGGCAAAGTCAGTAGCAACTAACCCTGAACCATGAAACTGAAAATTACTCCCTCTTAAAACTTTACAATCTGTTCTATGAAAACATAGCTGAGATCTGACTTGAAATTAACCTGGCACCAGCAAAACCCAAACTTTCCAGTGACTTCCATGGTGGAGATCACCGGCAGGGCTTCCATGTTCAAAGGAAACCTGAGAGGAGCTGGTTCAAGCCAGCAATGCAGTGAGTGGGTGCAGGCCCTCCACATAGGCTACCCACGCAGTGCATGCTTGCATAAATTACCTACCACTGCTCCCAGACGGGAGGAAAATGTTTATGTACCGTCACTAGGAAGATTAGATTAGGCAGTATGCAGAGAAAATAACACTCAGCAGAATGTAACTGTTTCCACCCTTTGCTACAACTGAACACTCACAGAGGCTCTATTTGAAGGGTGGGGTAGGAATCATGGCTTCACTGGAGGGCAGTAGTGTTTTTGTTTAATGAAGATGGAAGGCTCTGAGGATACTCCCTGTCTGAGAGACGGTACCATGGTGGGCACTGGATTCTCAAGGGGGCAATCAGGTATGAGAATCCCTTCTAGAACTTTCAGGAGGGCTAGAGTGGGAGGGAGCCTCCCATTGGGCACACAGGCTAAGTTACTTTCATCAAACTCCTAAGACATCTCAAACATGCTTCTGGCTGTATTTCCTTTTACAAACATATATAGCCCCATACATGACAAAGTTACCCCTGTAAAGCAATAAACCTAGGCCTCTGCCTTCCAAGAATAAGGTTATGATAAAGACAAATTGTACTCCGGCCAGAAGGCATGGAAAGCATTTGCAATGGTACGTAGTGAAAAACCTCAAATTTCTGACTGTTGGGCGCAGAGGCAGAACCATCAAAAAAGTCACTAGAGTGGCAACATTTGGTGAGATCACAGTCTATCCCAGAAAACTGAGCATGGAGGGTAACCCCCGTGCCCGGACTAATCTCAACACCAGAAGACATTCCTGGATTGAGATACTTTGACCAGTAGTCCTACTTGAGCTATTTCTCCACAGAAGGGGCATGTCTACCCTCCCTGTGTACCGTCTGTGTCCCCCATGTGTAGGAAAACAAATCATAAATATGGGTGCAGAGGTAAATGTAGGAGCATCTCTGGAAAGGAGCTGTTTTCATGAGGTCTGACAAGAATAGGGATCTCCTGGGGGGGGGATTAAAGGGGAAGACATTTCCAGGGCATATTTGGTTTACCATGACAACTCCTCCAGACTGCTCTGCGGTGCACATGCTCATGATGGGTGCCATGCCGATGGTGGTTCCTTGGAAATAAACCCCACTAAAAAACAAAAGGAAGGACTGTCTTTAGTCTCATGCATTAGGGATGCATTTCCCAACAGTTCAAATCTTGTTTAGGCAGGCCTGCAGCAGAATGCTCAATGATGCAAACAGCCCCAGGAGGGGGTATTTACTTGTGACTTTCACACTTTACTTTTCCAGTTGCAAGATGGTCCCATCCTTCCTGTAGAGTTTTGCTGTTCAGATAGCCGCCAGGCATTACTTTGCATTTCTAAGTTGCTGCCTACCTGCTTCCTGATGGACTGTAGGGAGTTGTTCCTTTGAAACAAAGCCTGCTGATAGAAAGGCTGAGAAGTCACTGGGAATCACTGTTTGCTGAAGGAAACAGGAGACAGCTTGGGAGATTTTCTGTTGTAGCTGGGGTTTGCTTTCCTGTGTAACTCATCATCTCCAGACATGAAATCCTTCAAAGTGTTCTGCCAGTATGGCTTTTGAGACTGAAATCGGCAGTAAAGCAATCGCCCCTCTAGAGCCAGTGTATAGCAAGTAAGCACCCACACCGCCTTGGCACCAGGAAGTTTCTGGAAGGGAACTTCGTGGCTTCCATGTAGGCGTCCTCCTATCCGGAATCTCAACCTGATCATGAATCTAATCATACCAAAGGACTGCTTCAGGCAAGTGTGTTATGCATAAAACTTTAATAGGCTCGTGCATAAAACTTTAACACTGTATTTGTTGGACTCCTATAAAGTAATCAAATGACTTAGTTATATTTTGTTGGCTGTGTACCAACACAGACAATGCAGTCGTGAGAGTTTGAAAAGTCAAATATGAGGCAGGAGAGATGGCTCAACAGTTAAGAGCTGACTGCTCTCCCAGAGGACCTGGATTCCATTCCCAGCACCCAGATAACAGCTCACTACTGTCAGTAACGCCAGTCCTAGGGGATACAGCTTCCTCTTTTGACCTCTGTGGGCATCAGGCACATATGATGCATAGACACACACCTCTGTTTCTTTTTTCTTCTTTAGTTTTCTTTTTCTTTCCTCATATTCACTTCCACTCTATTTACAGCTGCTCATATATAGACCATATGAACAGCTACAACTATACATACAAGTAAATAAGAAGGTTAAAGAAGATGTTAATTTATTTCTAGATGTTTAGGTTGGGCAGATTCCTTTAGTGGAAAAAAATCAAAAACAAAACATTCCCAACTCGAAGTACAGGGTTGGTCAGTGCATAAAATGTGAAGCAACCAAACATCCACAGGGACCCTGTTGAAATGGCCAGAGTGAATGATTAGGGACCACTGACCAACTGGGAGTGGATGGAGGCATTTCCTACATGAACACAGGGAAGAACCATCTTGTCCCTTCTCATAAATGTCCAATAAGCTAGATCTGACCAAAGAACAGAAACCACTGCGTCTGAAGGCTTCACTTAAGTGACACAAGAACAAAAGAGTAAGCCATCTCTGAAAACATCTGCTTCCTATGGATTCAGGTGAATATAGGGGCATTCTCCTCTTTTAAATGTAAAGCTGTCTGGAGTCACTCACCATGTGCTGCTGGACAGCCAACCCCCCCCGCTACTTTATTTCACACCTCCACATCAGCTGCCACTCCAATGCTTTCCACTCTTCTGTTTCCTCTCAGCAGACAGAAACTCGTCAGAGCAAGAACATTTACTGGGCACTGTTACATTCAGATCACCTAGCTGGGTCCTAGCAGGTACCCCATGGATACTGATTGGAGGAAGAGCACAAGGCCTGGACGACACTCCCTGACCTGGAAAGCCAAAGAGAACTTCTCCACCATAGGAAGAAGGCCCTCGTGTTTCTCCAGGTACCCAACAATCTTCATGTGCCTTGCTCTCAGATCGTGTAAAAACATAGATTGTTTTCTACTAATGATACACTGCTGTTTGAGGCAATCTTATTAAAGAAAAAGACCAGAAAAATTAGCACAGAGGAAAATGCTCAGATGTGGAAAACCAAACCAAACCAGAATCAGAGTCCTGCAGAGGGACAGAAGACTGCCCCAATGGGTCTGTGATGCCAGGTGGTTGACCCCTGATGCAGGCTAGGAAGGCCCTTTGAGGAGCCAGTATGCTGTGTAGACAGATGTGGCTCTGGGTACCCTTGGGCTCAGCACACTGGAGGGAGGTATTGCAGAATCTCTCACCTGATAAGTTGAGCATTGTCGTGGGATTTTCGAGGTAGAAGCTTTATCTTCCTCCAGTCCAGAAATTCATGGAGACTGGTGAATGGGTCCTGGCTTATAGAGCATTTGTCAATGTCATTCCACACTTCCACCCCTACCAGCACGATCCGGATGTTCAGTGGTCTGTAAAACTAGGAAAATGGGCATCGTTGGAGGATCACATTATCAGAAACTTAAAAAGAAAATTGGAACTGATTTCACTGCTGAAGTTCATTGTGTAAGTCAGGAAAACCCCTCTCTGTGCACCTTTGTTACCATGGCAACAGGATTTAAAAAATAGTCTTAGTGCCTGATGCAACGTGAAATGTTAACTGTATTCCATAATGTTGACCAATTTGATGCTAAAGTTATTAGCCATTTATTTCCTGTCTGGCCATATGGGAGGATGCCTTTCAAGTGACTTGGTGTGTTTTACCATTTAATATGCTGTCAGTTACTATTTACTGCAAGTAAAAAAAAAAAAAGATTGGATGAAGATCATTCAGTCACTTCTGCCAGGAATAAGAATTATTTTTTTCATTTTAAGTACAGTGTTCTGCCTAAGAGATACTGAAGATGTGTCTGAATTTCTCAGCAAAGACTCAGCTTTGGCTGACACCATCATATCAAGTCACCTATCAAGTTAGGAAGTTTAGTGCCTTTCAGAATGATAGAAACATAGACAAAGCCTTCTTCAGTAACTTAGGACCACATTTTTATCACCATACCAAGAAGTTATCTTAGCCCTGGTGAGCTGGGAAGATCTTTCATGTGGAGTTCTTCTCACAGGAGCTCGAGAAAGCTTTGGGCAGGCCCACAGCGTGTCTTCTCATTATAGACAGTAATGACTTCAACCAAAGCCCCTAGTCGGTAGGAAATCGGGGGAGACAATGCTTCTAGTTGCCAAAGGATGGCTTGTCTCATCTGCGTCAGGGGCAGTTGTGAGTGGCTAGCCAACATGGAGTGCACACCAGTCCATCCCACAGTTAATGCTGAGGTTCTTTGAAGCCCACAGTTCAGCCCACAGAGCAAATAATAGTTCTTAACTATTATTGTTCCCATTTATGGAAAAGACAATGAGGCTGAGTGGGGCCCTGTAAAAATCACCCTTGCTCTATACGTAACAGCACACCAACAGGGAGATTACACTGTGGTCACAGCTAAGGGGGTAAGGACAGGAGTCACCCATTAACCTTTGGATGCCAGTGCCATACAAGTCCACATGCAACAAGAAAGTCCCCACCTTCTCAGATCCTGGCTACACAAGGAGAAAGGCATTACAAGTGACTCCAGAGGGAAGCAGATACTTGGAGTTTCTAGTAACATCTGGCCAGCAAGGAGCAGGAATCCCAGCAGCTCTGCATTGGAGAGTTAAGCATCATTCCAACGTGGTGAGCTGAAGCACAAGGAGTTCCCCAAGCCTGAGCCCCTGACCCCAGATTCTCAGCTGCACGTGAGGCAGCTCATCCTCTCCCTATCTGATCCCCAGAGTCACATGGTGAACACTGGGTCAGCAGCAGAACTGAAGAACTCAGCTGGGGCACAAATTATGTCATAGGCTACACTGATTTCAGTCGTCCAAGTTGAGGTTAAACTGATAACAAAGTCCATACGAAATTAATGCATTAATGAGACAATTACCTAAGCAAAATGTTGTCCAGTGGTATGTTTTTAATCAAGCAGCACATGACTTGTGCCTAGTTGCAAACTTCCAGCCCAGGTTCCCCAGGAAAGACAGTTCCTGGACCACTCTGAATGATGCCTGCTCATGCCAGGGGCACCCCTCGAGATGACATTCCATACTGTGTCATATGCAAAGGTCACAGTAATCAGAAAACAAATTCAATGCTGATGTTTATGCCAGCCTTCTAAGAGATTCACTTAGATCCAAATATCCTGAGTGATTGTCTTCTGAGAAATGGACACTGTTTGCCTCCCAGAAGTATTGAGTAGAAGAAGGAACTAATGTCTGCCCAGGCCTAAGCTATCATCTTTCTCAGCACGAACCCAGCAACATACTGAAAAGAGAGGTTTTCCTACCAACAGAGAGGTTGCATTTCTCTGTGAGCCCTCTCAAACCACATCCTAGCCCAGATTTCAGACTTAGTGGAATCTCACCTCCTCTCTAAAGTTGGTACTGTTGGTTGACTTCCATGTGTGCTATGCCTACAGCAAGCCATTATGCACTGTGCCTTGAGTTTGCCCACAGGTCATCTTGGTCTTGTCAGTGAAGTAATGAGCATAGGTACAGCCATGGCTTGATTTCAAGGTGCTTCCTAAGCCCAGGCTTAATCCTCAAATGGATTCTATGTTAGGAACTGTTATTGCTCCCAATTTAGAGTCAAGACACCCAGGCTTGGAGATACCAGGTAAATTATTCAAGATCATGATTGCATGGCTGGACTGACTCACAGACAGGCTGACTCTGATGTCATGATTTGAACCATTAAAACTGCCACCAACATGTGAATACAATGACTGCAGACTTTGAGAAAAGCTCATGGACCTACGTAGGGCAAATGGATCTTGGCAGCTGCCTGCCCGGCTCAGGGATCCCAGAATGCATGTAGACGCAGTTAGAGACACAGATGAGTGATTCTCCTATTAAACAACAGCTACAAATGTTTGCTATCAGTTCTTCCTGTGGGCAGGAACATGGCACAAGCAGAGAAAACAAAGATTAGGATGGCTTAGGCCTGGCTCAGCTGCTCAGAGGTCAGCACAAGACTTTAGGTACAGGCGGTGCTACCATGAATCCAGTTAACTGATATGGTATCTCACTGAGCAGTAGCATCAACATGAAGTACAAGGAATGCTGTGCTGGAGGGGCCAAAGCTTTGTGGAAGGAATGGATAAGAAATGAGGGAGGTAGAATTCCCTGGGGACTCAGGAAAGCTTGTATTCTTCAGGCAACTGGCTTAGGAGGAGGAAAAGAGAGTGGTCACATGAGTGAAGAAAGCGGAAGTAATTCAGAGTCCCTCAGAGGATGGCCACTGAGGCTTGGAGCTGAAGTCACAGCTTAAGAAGGTTGGATTGGAGTGATGGCTTCAAGATGCAAGCCTTCAGTCCCTAGATGCTCACTCTGCTGCTCCTGCTGCAGTGTAATCAGGACCCAGGAACAATAACTTCAACTTTTTCTAGAAGCAGGACCATTAGACACATTCTGTTTCTGTCATCTGTGATTTTTCTGACCCCTTTTTGACCTTTGTCTCTGAGTCACTTCTCTTTCTCCCAGTCTGGGGTTTTCTCTTTTTCCAAGTCAGTACAGCTAAATGGTTATTAATTTAGAATAACCAACCAAGCCAAGATGTCATCAAGTGAGGAAGTGGCCACTGATACAGTCAGTGAGTTTTGGGCTGAGACTCTCCCATGAGTATAGTTGCAAAACTGAAACTGGTAAGTCTGATGTTGCCTGGATCCATCAGCCAACAGCTGTGCATAGAGTTGCCCAAGGAGCCAGAGTTTTCTCTCAGAGTCTCTAGGAGCTGTTGAAGGGTGGGCAGGAATACCAGGGCTAAACATGGCTACATGCTTAGTGAATTGGCTCTGCTCTCCTTTTATCCAGGCTGGCACACTTGACCAAGCCTACCAGGGCTTCTAGAGGCATACTGTTCTTTAATGACTAGCACAAGCCATTAACAAACCCCCAATTTCTCATTTCCAGCTTTGTGAAACAAAGCAAGATAGAACCTGGAATAATACGTGAAGACAGATAAAGGCAGAGGACCAGATATACCACTTACTAAAACGGGGATCTCAGGCATTTCTAGTTAGATGTTAATGTATTCCATTACTTCCTTTTACTTCTCAGGTCTGGGATGAGCTCTTTCACTCCTTAGGGACAATGGAGAGCTTCTAGATGAATCTGCCTTGATGAGGTTAGGGTGCTGGCTTGGCCTCTGAACTATCCAAGCCTTTCACTCTATGTCACTGTTTTAAGGAGAACTCTGCATGGATCTGTGCCAAGTCCTACCTAAGTCAATCAGATCAGATTAAGAAGGCTCTGATTTAGGAAGTAGTATTTAAAAGAGTAGTCCCATGAACAAAAATGACCCAGGGAATTCTAAAGCCCCAGCCTGATTGTGGTTCTGCTTTTCTTTCTTGGACAGGTCTCAGGTAGCTGGTACTAGCCTCCAACTTGCTATGTAGGTGAGGGTGACCTTGGACCTCTGATTTTCTGTCTTTACCTTCCAAGAACTCTAATACAGGAAAGCTCCACCATGCCCAGTTCATATGGTGCTGGAGATGGAACTTTGCTTTGTACACAGAAGGTGAGCACTCCACCGACTGGGCTACATCCCCAGTCTCTGAGACCCAGCGTTAATTCTTGTGCTATGCTTGACATATTTCTCAGGATCCATGCTTTAATTTCCTTCCTCAAAGGACTGGTCCTCTAACCAGGTTTCTCCTTCATCCCTTGACTTTAGGGTACACAGTAATATGTGAGGAGTTACCGCTGAAACATTTTAAAGCCATGTGTTGCTCCAGAGTTCAGCCTGCCTCAAGGGTCTGATGAAAAGGGGTCAGAAGAAAGAACTAGGACATTGGGCAGTCCAAATCCCAATTCATCAGCTGTTCACACACAAACACAATCATGCATGCACATGAGCCTACATGAACATGCATGTGTGTATGCACAAACACATGCACATGTCTACATATGCCCATGCTCTGCAACCACAAGGAGCTACTCACTGTATCTATAAGTGTTGGGAGCAGACCAAGCCCTTCCCTACTCTGAAGGCACTCTCTCCCTCACTCTCCACCTTGCAAGATCACTGTCCTGACTGCAATGACCCTTGTCCGTATCCCCTGAGAAAGTTAGTAGCTCTCATCTGTAACTCCAGAGACCTCTGTTTACAGCATCATTGCAGGGCTGTCACTTGGGTGCAGGATGAAGGGTTTATATGTCTATCTGCTATGGGTCTGCTGTGACTGCAAACACAGTGATTACATCTGACTGATGCACAGAAATCAGGATCCCATGTTATATAAGAACTTGTAGGATGAAGATGAATTTATGCAGAGACTTTTGCCTTTCTCTTTCTGAAACGGTTGACAATTCAAATTGAACAGAACAGGATTGCTCAAAACGAAAGACATCTGGAGGGGCCCCTTCCAAACTGCTCTGTGCAAAGGGTGGCTATGTTGGAAAAGCCTGGATGTGAAAGGCTCAGCTACATCCAGGCCCTCCTTTTCATCTAGTTGTCATAGGCAGGAGATGTGTGACTACTGAGAAGCCCAGCTCTGTCTCAGCTTCAGCCTTCTCTCCACTGGTGGTATCTACAGTGCAGTCCTATACCAGGTCAGTTCCTGGCCTTGGGCCCTGGAGCTGCCAGACACACAGAATGTGAGACTCTAGGGGACATCTGAAAACACTCAGCTTTGCCAGCAAACAAGAAGTCAGAAAAGTCTTTGGGAGCCCCCACCCCCAGCACTGATATGTAAGCCATTGAGAGAAGCCCTGCTTCCCATGAGAGCCATCAACCCCACACAGTCGGGATTCTGTCCTGCAGGATGCCACTGGAGCAGGGTGCTTTAGACAGAAGGAGTCCCCACTTCCTTGCCAGCAGGTTGTAGAAGGAATCAGATTCCCAGAGGCTCTTCTCCCAGAAATTGTCTTGTGAAAGTAGTGGTGGGGTCCCCCCCTGTTCTTAGTGAGGGACTTCAGATAGCAATTGTTCACAGAGGAAGTGCTCTCCAAAATGCTTTCAAAAGTGGCTTTGATAATTAAGGCGTGATTGGATCCTGAAGACTTGGACCTAATCAAATGATTGCTGTTTGACTGGAATAATACAGTGCTTTTACTGGGAGGTGGGACCTAGTTTAAGGATTACAAGGGTGTGTCCTGAAAAGATACACTTGGGGGCCACTCCTTGTCTCTCTCTGCTCCCTGACCACCACGAGTTGAGCAACCCTATTCCCCCACGCCTTCTCTGTGATCATGGTCCAGAGCCTTGGAGTCAGCAGACTTCAGCCTAAAATTCCTAAAGCCACAAGGTGAAATAAACATTTCATCCTCCATAGTTTTTCTTACAGTTATCTGTCACAGTAGTTAAAAAAAACAAACAATCTAACACGGTGATTAATCCAGAAGTCTGTTTTTGGGTTCTGATAATGGAGCTTGTAGAGTCTACCCTCTAATCCACATTGTGAACTTCACACTGAAGAGCAGAGAAGAGGCCTGGCTACCAAATTCTCAAATGTTCAATGCATCCTTCTGGGATTCCATCTAATGCATTGTCCAGAATTCTCTTAGGCTAGAATACTTCCCAGCAAGTGTTCCCAGAGAAAGCTGAGTCCCTGAGGCCTCCATAGTCTAGACCAGCTAGGGCTGGAGTCCCCTAAGTTGCCCAGGACCTGAATACTGGCTCAGAGGACTGGACACTCAGGACCAGCACAGGACCCAGAGGCAGATCTTGGTCTCTCTGCTCAGTTGCAGGAAAAGCACTTAAATCTCCCAACCTCGTTTCCAATCATTGACATGATTTGAGGGAACTTACCTTGTCAACGTGATTAGCGATCTCTATTAACCGCTGCTTAACTTTCTCCAGATCTTTTCCTTGCCTCTGAAACTTAACCATTTGAAAGGCCAGCATTAATAACAATAAGAATATCAACCAGGATTCCTCTTCCCAGATCCTGAGATGTGAGGTCTTGGGCTTTGGAGATACCCTCCCTGTATTTGGTGTGTGTGTGTGGGGGGGGAGGCTTCACATTTACAATGGAGGAGCTTACATCAGGCCAGATAGTTTCCCCAGCTGGGGAGTCCCTGCAATTCCCTACAACGCGCCGTGTCCTCACGCCAAAGACCCATATGGTAACTTCTGCAGCTCTTTCAGCCTCATAAATGATGGAGGAAGGGACATGTTTTGGCAAAGAGAAAATGGACAATGGGAAGGCTGTCCAAGGCCACTTTTCATATCATCAGCTTGATTTTTAACTTCCTGAGAAATTTCCTTTAGATTTGTTTTTAAACATTAAATATGAAAGGCAAGAAAAGCTCATGGCAACATGTCCAAGAAAGAGGATGGAAAAAAAATTAACAAATTCCCCATTCTCTCCTCTAAGTTGACCTTCCAGAATGGGAAGAGTTTTCTGAGAAATTGTCAAGCTGGTTTCACTCATGTATGTTGAATGAGGTTAGGAGAAAAATGTCACCAATTTATAACATGTTAATGGGATGATAAGAAACCATAGGGAAGACAATCTAAAGAAAATTGATTCACAATGAAATGAAAGAAAAAAAACCAACAGTACAGAGCCATATCACAAGAGGGGAGGATTTCTCTACCATGCCTGTATAGCATTCCTTCATTCATTTGTTCATTCGTTCATTCATTCAGGTTAAGACACACCTAACTTTCCCCAAATTGTCAGAATGTAATTTGAAGCCATCCATCACTGCCTCTAGATAATTTCCCTTACTTAGAGAGCTTAGCTACAGAGAAACACTGTGTTTTTTTGGGGGGGGGCTTACACTTTGTGATTATTTTATTATACTAGATACACATTAAAGAGTCTGTGCTTCTTCAGATCGGAAAAGCACAATTTTAATGCTTGACTCCAAGGTTTTCAAGAACACACCAACAAAGGAAGCAAAGCTAGATCTAACCTCCTCTTATTTCTTTTGAAACCAACTGTCCTGAGACGTTTTAGAGGCACTTACCTCTCGGTTGTCTGCCACAATAACCAGCTCCACGTACTTGGTCATCTTAAGGGTCTCTCTTTTATGCTGCCAAAAGAAAAAGAGAGAGTTTCGTTGGCCTTAATACTTCCCTGGGGCTTCCAGGACATTGTTCATGTCTCTCAAAAAATAAAAACAAACAAGACAATGATAACATTTGCAGGGCAGACTCTTCCTCCTGCGGGCTTTGTGGCTGTGTGCCACCAAGAAACTGATTCCTAGCCCCAGTGATCTTTTTGGGGAGCTTCGACAGGGGTGATCTCGTGTCTGCTTTCATGTGGGAATTCCTAAAAAGGAGTTTAACATTCTCGCTGAATCATTGATGGTGGGTTTGAAAGAAGTCAAGGTCATTTTAAAACAAAAACGAGCACCTAAACAACCCCAAAGAACATTCTGGAACCAGAGCCAGACATAGGCTTGTTGTTACGGACTGCACGAGGACATGAGGATCACCAAAGGCACACTGGAGTCCAGCCTGTCACTGTGTTTCTTGGACTTTTATGGCCCGTGTACATCTGCTCCATGACTGGAGGAGAGGGAGGGCAAATGCACTTTGTAGAGAAATGTGCAATCCCTCTGGGAAAATGCTGAGTTCTTTCTGGGGGAACAGATGTTTGTGGCCAGTCATTTAAACATCTAGTTTGAAGCAGTGGAAGATTGGGGTGAAGAGCAGAGAGGCAACAGGGAGGTGCATCGAGACAAAATATAAGGGAGCAGCAGAGAGACCAGGAAGCAAGAGTGTTTTTAAAAATATGACACTGGAGGATTGGCAAGAGTGGAGAGGCTGAGAAGAATATGGAAACTGTATCAGGGTGCAGAAATAGGGACTCTCAGCAGTAGAGATACAAGAAGGCCTCAGGGGCAGGTTACATTGTAATCAGGCTTCCTCAGAAACAGTTTACAATCTTCTGTAAATTACTGGGAGGATCCCAAAGGCACTTTTTTTAGGGGAAATAAACCAATTCATGGAGGGTGGTCTCCAAAATCAAACACTGAAAACAAAAAAAGCAAAGCCTTCTGCTTCTGCAATAACACACGGTTGGAGGAAGTGGGGGTTGATCTGCCTCTGGTCCTCCCCAACTGAAATTGCTGGTTTATAACTTAAGTCTCATACAGGGCTTGAGCAGAACACTCAGTGTTACAACCACTTGTCCAGACAAAAGCAAAAGGGATGAAGGCATGCTTTGAATCAGGTTTCCAGTCACATAATCCGCAGGGAAACATCTTTCATAAAACAAATCTCCACCAGGCCAGAATCTTCCAAACAGATTTTTACAAGAAAAATGTTTGTATTATAGTGGTGTTCCTGCTTGCTGCCCAGCTGTGCTGATTCATGAATTTAGGTGTCCCTAAAGAAATCTGGAAACCTCATGGAGGAAGGAAAATAAAGTACCATGAAAGGTATAATTTCTCACGCTTTTACAGCGCTGCAAGGAGAAACCGTCAGGCGTGGTGACTGTGTGTGCTGGCAGGCTTCATGGTGATAACTGGGAACTCAGAGAGGCAGAAAGTCAGCCCCCGTGTGTGCTCAAAATGAGACACTTCTAGAAATGAAAGGGTCTTGTGCTTTTTCCTTACCGAGGGCCAAAGAAGTAGAAATCTCCTCGCCTTTCCTCTCCCCAACTCCATGGCATATGCATGTATGCATGTGTATGTGTTTGTATGTGTGCTTCTGTAGGAGTATATGTGCATGCGCACACATGTATATGCATGTGTGTGGATGCCAGATGTTGTTGGCAAGTGTCTTCCTTTAACCCTCTCTACCTTGTTTTTTTGAGACATGGTTTCTCAGTGACCTGGGAGTTGATCATTAGGCTGGTCTGCCAGCGATTCCCCGGGACCCAGCAGTCCCCAGTCCTCTGCCAGAGATGGGTGGCAGGTGCATACTTGGTGTACCTGGCTCTGTACATGGGTGCTGAGGGAACTAAACCCAGAACAGAATGAACTTTACTGGTTGAGCCGTCTCTCTAGCTCTCAGGAATCAAGTTCATTCTCCCTTCCCTTCCCTCCTACAAAACCCTGTTCAACCATGAACAAATTCAGCTAATTATACAGACAGAAACATGGTTGTGGAAATGGAGAAATAAATTAATCTCTCCTGAAAAACTCATCGCAGAAGGGCTAGCTGCTTAGGCATTTACACTTTTCAGAGGGTGAAATCTATGACCAGAGGACATCTCCAACTGGCCTTGGACCATCATTTAGGAAACACACAATCTTAGATAATGAAAACAAACACATGAACACAATTTTCCTGTCTCTGCAGTTTTCAGAGAAATCCACATTTTCTCATGAATTCAGAGAATTGCAAGCTCAGAGAGAAGTTTAACCACATCATAGTGAAAAGCCACAGGGGAGTAGCCAGCCCCTGAAGGAGAGGCTTAAATTACCTCCATGTGATCTCTACCTATCTAGGCTGTCCAGTTTTAAAAACATATACTTTAAATTTGTGATATGAGCAGCAACATTGGAAAGTGCTTGTTTGACTGAATTTTCATTCTGCAGGATTGTGAACAAAAGCTCATTCCCAGACAGGAACCTGAGTCTCTGAGAAGGGACTAACAGTTTCAGCTCCAAGGTGGGGAGCTTGTTCCTAGACTCTGAAAGTCAACCCAGCCAAGTGCCCAGAGGCTGAGTACCCTCTGAAGATCTTGCTGTGATGTCTGGCACAAAGAGCTTAACACAATCAAGGAAAGCAAGGGGAAACCAGGGTACCAACTGATTTCCATAGCAATCCTGTCTTCTTATGGTCAGATCATTGGCAGACATTTGCTCATTCCACAGTGTCTTCTGGGAGCTTGCTGTGTGCCACACGCTGGGTTAGGTAGAAGAAATATAGGGATAGATAAGACCAAGGCCACTCGCTGCCCTCACGAAGCAATTCCTTTCTCTGCTATTGGTTTGATTTTCTTATTAGCAGATTTAGTCTTTGTCTCTCATAAAGCTTACTAAGGCTGCTATTCTTTTTGTTTGTTTGTTTTGAGATGTGGTCTCATGTAGCCCAGGCTGGCCTCTAATTTATTATGGAGCTGAAGCTGACCTTGAACTCATGATCTTCCTGCCTCTACCTCTAGAGTGCTGGGATCACAGGCATGCACTACCATATCCAGTTTATGCAGTGCCAGGGATAGCACTTGAAGCCACATGTGTGTAAGGCGAGAGCCTTACAAACTGAGCTACATCTCAAGTTCTCCCTTTCCATTCTTGCAGGCACGACCATGGAGAGGGATGGAGTTCAGGCAGGTGAGCCAAGTACCAAGATAGGTTAGGCTGGACTTAAAACTCCCCAGAGAGAAAACTATGACACTCCTGCCTTCCAGAAGCAAATGGGGCACTCGGTACAATCTACATAGAGCCTTGTAAAAGTGACAAACAGCTCAGCTTTATATGATAGCCAGTGTGACTGCCTAGATCAGATGGATTTCTAGTGCTCCGTGAAGAAAAATGCAAACATCTACAGAGAAGTCGAGATAGTTAACATTGGGGGTGGAGCAGGAAAATGCTGGAGAAGAGCAATTGTGCATGGCACACTGCATAAAAAAGATCAATTAGCTGCTGTTACATTGATTTTTTTTATATAAAAAAGGTGTAGGCAAGTGATGGGCATGTGACTTGAATCAGGGCTCTGCCTGTTCACCATGGAGCTCTCCAAAATGATGTAGGTGCCTGGAACTCCCAAGTATTCTGCATATTTGAAAATTATTTTTTGTACTGTCTCTGTTATCTGCTCACAGTTTAGGCTCAGTTCTTTCCCTGGTTTAAGACCATCACAAGAAATTTCAGAGCAACAGTGGATGCCGAGGTAAACGGCACTGGCATCCGTGCCTTCCCTTTTCCATTTAAAGGTTCATTTACGTTCCCATATTAGCAAAATAGCATCATTAGGCAGGCTTTCTCATTTCTATCCATGTCAGTGTGACTGGAAATGATGGTGCCAATCATGGGTCTAGAGAGCTGTGTATGCTCAGGGAATTAAAATATGGTCAGCAGCAAGTACAGACCAAGTTTGTACTTCTAAATGAGATGGGAGCACATTTGAGCATCATTTAAACTGTCAAGTTATAAATCATGCAATGTGGGTAACAGGCATTCAACCAGGTACTCAAAGCCAAGAGCCTGGAAAACAAAATGCAAATGTTTGACTTGTTTATGATGGGTGAAGCTTGGCTTAGTCACATCCTAGCTGGGGTCTGGACTTGGGAAAGCTGGCATGTTTGAAGAGTGAAATAAACATGAGAGGGACTAGAGAGGCTGTCTCTGATGCCAGCTCTTAAGTCTGTCACTCAAGAGAGGTGGAGCAGGGTAGGAGTTGTAAGAGGGGCCTTTCTAGAGCTGAGATGCTGCTGCTGAGACTCTCTCTCTCTCTCTCTTTCTTTCTCTTTCCCTCATTCCCTCATTCCCTCCTCCCCTGTCCCTCCCTCCCTCCCCCCTCCCTGTCTCTCTGTCTATTTCTTTCTGACTCTCCCCACCCAGTGAGCATAAGCACCTGTGTGTGTGTGTGTGTGTGTGTGTGTGTGTGTGTGTGTGTGCACGCGCGCGTGCAGGTGCAGGTACAGGTGCTCATGTGTGCAGTTGTGTGGAGGCCAGAGGGCAGCTTCAAGTGTTCCTCCTCAGGATATCATTCACAGGTTTGTTGGTGGTGGTTGGTTAGTTTATTTTTATTTGTTTTGCTTTGTTTGAGACAGATATTTTCACTGAACTTGCCAAGTAGTCTAGACTGGCTGGCCAGGGAGCCCCAGAGATCATCCTGTCTCAATCTTCCCAGAACTGGAATTACAAAATAGCATCAGCACATCTGGCTTTTAAAGAAACTTATTAATATAGGTTCTGGAGATTGAACTCAGGTGAACATACATTCCCTTTTTTTGACTGGGCTATTTCTCTAGCCTCATTCAATGAAATAGGATTCCATGAACTGGTAATGAGAATGCCCTTAACTCTTCATCTCTATCTCTACCCTCCAAAGTGCTAGGATTATAGGGGTGCACCCTGGCATTTCTGGGTGGTTTTAAGATCTGGAATTCAGATAGACTCCCATCCCTATTCCTTAAGTATCAATGCCAAGGTAAGTAACAGCGTGTAAGGGGGGAGCTCTTCTTTCTCTGAAGAGGCAGAAAAACAAATGTTTTGAGCACTGTACATGGACAGTCTTGGGAACCATCATAGGAGAAAAGCATTTGGATCTCATGACAGAGTATCTGGATGGATGGGGAAAGTCCAGAATGGGGTGGTTTAGAGCAGTCTAGGGGGAATAGACACTGCACGGGCATAAAGAGTACGCAGGGAAATAACATAAATAACTCTTGTTTAAACTTAGAGGATTTAGAGGGGGGAAGGTAGTTCAGTGGTAGTACACTTGACCTAGCATGCATTAGGCCTGGGTTCAATATCAAGTACTGTTGGAAAGCAAAAAGAAGGAGAGCAAGAAACAAAGAAGGTGGGAAGGAAAGAAGGAAGGAAGGAAAGAAAGAAGAAAGAAGGAAAGAAAGGATGGTCTAAGTTGCACCAAGAATAACCTTCATGGGATGTTAATGGTGAGCTGTTAGCTCAGAGTTAGGTGACTGTTAGCTAAAGCTGGGAAAGGCAAAGTGTGTTGGATGTAAAGTACATGTCACTCTTGCCATCCTTGCCAATAAAATGTTAACATAGGGGCATCATACGTTTGACTTTTTAGATTTTTCCTCTCAAGTGAAGAATAGGAAACACACACATACATACCCTTTCACCCCCAAACAAAACAAAACGAAACAGCCAGAAATAGGTAATAACTTCCATCTCTTTATAGCTTAGTGGTGGAAAAGACCCTTTGCTCCACTGGGGCCTGTATAGCCCATGTGAACGGCCATGAGCAGGTACCATTGGGCAGAGCTGTTCCAGGGTGTTATGGGAAACGTTGGTGAGGGGAGTCAGCTTATAGCACAGACTCTGCTGACAACTCCCCTGCTGCAGCAAAAAGAGTGAAGGCAGGAGGTGGGAAGAGGCAGGCTGCTGCAGTCCTGGAGGGCAAGGACAAACACAAAGTACGGCCTACGGATAAACGGGACTTTAATAAAACGCCAGAGAAGGCTCAGTGGCTCTCTGCACATGCAGGTGGGTAAAGGTGGTTTATTTTCTATACCCAGCTCTGAGATCCCAAACTGTGGAATAGACCATGCAATATGGGGAACAAGAAGGAGTAGGGAACCCATACTTGCTTTGCTGGTTTCACCCCGCTGTCTGTGCCCATGGTGACGTTGCCACTCCCTGACCCTGATGCTGAGACTTGACTCATCACACATTAACGAATCTGATGATCACATTTGCAGGGAAGAGGCAGGGGTGTGGATTTGTGACCGTACTCTTCCCAGGACGTCCCCTGTTTCCTGAGGAATGGGGATCATTCTATCCACACTGCATCCAGCAGCAAGGTGGCTCTAGACCTCCTAGGCCTGCAGGTCCCTTCTTTCAGCCCTCAGCTCAAAAGCATGAACTTGGGCTTCCCTCTTACCCTTCTTGACCACATTTGAGAGGGTTCAGGGGAGACATCCATGGTGAGGCTGGACTGGTTATGGTGTGACCCACACAATCCCTGGGCATTCTTCATGTTCTCAGCGGGGACCAATTTGTATCTGTCGGTGGCATTTTTCATCGGTTCTATGATGTAGGTTTTATTCTCAAACACAACAAGTCCCCTGTTGAAAAGGCAATACAAATATTAATTTTTAAAGGACAGTTTCTCATTTATGTTGAAGATAGATTTTTTAAAAGGATTTGTTTTTACTTTTACTTCTCTCTCTCTCTCTCTCTCTCTCTCTCTCTCTCTCGTGTGTGTATGTTGGGGGGTGTGTGCTTATGTGTATGTGCATGTGTATGTATGTGCATGCCACATGTATGTGGGGGCCTGAGGAGGCAGAAGAGAGTGTTGGTGCCTGGAGCTGGATTTACAGGTATTTGTTTTACAGATGAGTTCTGGGGACCAAGTTCTGGTCTCCTTGAGTGCTATTAGCCTCTGAACCATCTCTCCAGTGCCTAAGATACAGTTCTTAGTCAAAACAAGAATAAAAGGGGGAAATCCTGATTTATTTATATTTGCAAGCTTTAGGAGGAAAAGACGTTTATGTATTTTGTGTTTGTGCCATTCATTTTGAAAACTGTTTGAAACCCAAGTTTGGGGATTTCACTCATTTCAAATATTTTGTGGTGAAGAACAAACAGCATTGTGTCTGTTTTTGTTTTTGTCTGCCCCCCAATCTTAAAGATACAATAATGTGAAAGAGTCTGGCAAAAAGATCCAATGTGACAATAAGAACGTTTGTATTGGCAGACACAACCCAGAAAGGAAACCTTCCCTTCTCCTCAAAAAGGCAATTTCTGCTTTGAAATAATTTTTCCAGGCCAAGCCTATTTTCTAAATCTTTGAAGGGATTCAGATATAAATACAGGGGAAGATTTATAATGTTTTTGGATTTTTTATTTAATCTGTGGGAACTGAACACATCAAAGCACCCATCTTAGAGTCTGCTGTGGACTGAGTGTGCCATGTCCCCCACAGGCTAAAATTATAACACTTGGTCCCCAGCTGGTGGCACTGTTTGGGAAGGTTGTGGGACCCTTAGGGGCTACAGCCTTGCAGGAAGCAGTGGGTCAGGTGGCTGGGTCTTGAGGGTTTGTAGCCTAGCCCTACTTCCTGCCCATTCTCTACTTCCTGACTATGGTGCAATGTGGCCAGACCCTAGCTTCCATGCTCTCCATCATGCTGACTGTATCCCTTTGAATTATAAGTCAAAGTAAACCTTGCCTACCTTAAATTGCTTCTTGTTAGGTATTTTCTTGTAACAAGAAAAGTAACTAATATGGTATCTAAAACATTTGAGTTAATTCTTGTGTGTGTGTGAGTGTGTACGTGTGTGTGTGTGTGTGTGTAGCATTAAGTCCATTGGGGAGCTCTTTTTAACTTTTTGTGTGTATGTGCATCTCAGTATGTGCGTGTGCATGTGTATGTGTGTGTGTGCGTGTGTGCGCATTCATATGGAAGCCAAAGATGGATTTTAGGAATCATCTTTGATCACTTTACACATTATTCTTTGAGACAGGGTTTCTCAGTCAATCATGGGATCACCTATGATCAGTCTTACTAAACAACTTGCTCCCAGCATCACATCTGTACATCTTCCAAGGCTGGGACCACAGCTTCTATGTCCATGAGGCGTTTACTTGGGTTCTGGGGATCTGAACTCCAGTCTTCTTGTTTGCATACCAAATTGGGAGCCCCTTATAGAACTGAAGAACACTGTGAGAGCCACCCTGTCCTGTGGCTGGGCAAGGGGCATCTGGTGTCCAGCAGCTCCAGGTACAAGTCACAGCTCTGATACTTTCTAGCTATGTAAGCTTGTTTAGGCTCCTAAGTGTCCTAGACTTGGTTTCTTCATCAGCACAATGTGGATAACATTGACTGCCTGTCACAACTGCTACCCCATTCGGTGAGAACTTTCTACTCCATAGATGGCTAAGTTACTGCTTACATGGTGTCATCTCTCTTTCTTGGATAAAGACAGATCTACACATCAGTCTGCTGTTCACAGGTTATTCCAAAGACTGACAATTCTAGGCAAATCTTATACTTTGTGAATGTATCCTACCCACAGGAATGCTGGCCATCTGTTGTGCCCTGATATTAAATGCAGCATCAGTAAGATAAACACCCTTCTGGGAATGACAATGACCAAACAGAACTTTGTGAGCCAACTGTTAGGCTTGGAAATAAAGGTATAGAATTTTAAAATACACGGACGAAGGACCTCTGGGTCAGATACTATTTAGAGGCCAGAGCAAATGATGGATTATGGTTGGGAAAACAAAGAGAATGGAGGTATCTCATCACTCCTTCATCAGACCCAGGGCCCACTAGGTCAAAGCTACAACCAACTTCCTATGCCATTGAATTTGAACTCACTGCTGCCACAGATGCAGATTCCAGCTAACTGGGCTGAAAAGCCTTGTCCAGAGATTGCTGCAAGGACCCCATTAATGTCCCAGTGGGAACAGTGAAACAGTGGGAGCCCAGTACAAGTTCTCCACAATGCTTTGGGTACTGCATAGTCAGCCACCCCTGCCGAGGTCCTGTGAATCAGCAAGCAAGGCAGCTGGGTGGAGAGTGCCTCAGTTGTTCCCAGCTCAAAGAGCAGAATCAGGTAGCTCATTAAGAAAACTCCATGCAGAGGTGGAGTTAGGAACTCACAGGAGAACAGGACAGCTCAGAGCGGAACAAGGAAGACAATGCAGTGGATCTGCCATGCAAGACAAAAACCAACATCCAGGTCATTGACTGCATTCTCTCATATCTCCACTGAGCTCTCAGCCCACCGCCACCATTCCTCATCTATATAATACCCTAGTCTGGGTGGTACACCAGCACCATCCCCCACTGCTTATATCAATTACTACTCACCTCCTTTTCTCTTTCCCTATTCCTTTTCCTCCTATTGGTATGTCTCCTAAAGCTGAGAGGCTGACCTGGATTGTGATATAAGGGTTTATATCTTTATGCCATTATGCAGCCTACCATTAACTACCCCTCCCTTCCCCCCACTTGCCTCTATTATTCCTACTCATTCTCTATGTACTTATTCTTTATATGTTCCTACTCTTCTACATGTTCCTTTTCTCTAGTTCTCATCTAGCAACATAATCACAGCCACTCACCATGATTTCTCACTTCTCTTTCTTTTACTTCCACTCATACCCACAATAACTGACATATTAGTATAGAGATAGTACTGTCTGGGTTCCTTTACTCCCTAAAACAATTAGTAGTTAAGAAGTATCTGTTTTGTAGCCTCCTTCTACTCTACTGTTAGAGTAGATCAACTGCTGGATAGTGACTATTCCTACAGTCAGTATCAAGCCACAGGGATGGACTTGAGATAGATCCTGGTGTCTAACACCATCTGATGGAGGCAAAGCTTGCCCACCAAGACTCTTTTGAAGTATAAACCCTTCTACTAAAAGAAGAGAGGTGACCTACAAAGAAGAACAAAAACTACTAACCAACCATCTAACCTCACATGGGCAAATCCAAGTACAAAGATAGAAGTAACATGACATATCAGGACTGTGTGCCTTCTCCCAAACCAACCAGTCTATAATTGTGGCCCCTGATGAAAAGGACTCAAAATTCAAAGGAATGATTACAAATATGTCCAAACAACCTGTGGAGGACAAAAGTATTTTCCAAGAGAGCACAAACAAACAATTTACTAATAAGGAAGTCAATTCATGATACAGAAATAGCGAGTAAGAGATTCTGAACAAAAGCCAACTGAGATGAAGATGAAAATGAAAACCACAATAGCTAAAGTGAAAAGTTCAGTGTAAAGCCTCATCAACAGAGTATATCATGATGGAATGCCGGGTGTGAAGACAAAACAGAGCAGAGTGAATCAGTTCAGCAGCATCAATGACATATTATTTTAAATGTATGGGTAGATCATGCAAGAACTTGGAGATCACCACAAAATGATAAAAATTGCAAATAATGGACACAGAATGAGGAGAAGAATTTCAAGCAAAAGGAACTATTTCACAGAAGAAAATAACCACAGAAGAAAACCTCCAAATCTAGGGAGCGAGAAGCTGACCCAGATCCTAGAGAGACACAGAACACCAAACAGACAAGACTGGAGAGGAGGATTCCTGTGTCATATTACACTTTCAAAACAGAGTGTACAGAACAAGGGAAGTCCACCGAAAGCTTCCAGAGAGAAGGGCCAGGCTACAAGGAAAGACAAGGCCTTTGGAACAATTGTTGACTTTTCAATCAAAACTTTAAAAGCATCAAGGGTTTGAGGTAAGGTATTTTGAAATCTCAAAGACATCTTAGTATCACCTGCAGAACTATCTACCATAACTGAAGGTGAAAGAAAACTTTCCACGATAAAGGCAGGCCAAAGGAATTCAAGGCCATCAAACCACTCCTACAGAGAACACTGTACTGCGGGGAATCCTTGGGATTGAAGAGAAAGATAAACACACTCAAGAGGCTAGAGGAGGAAAAAAAATAAATGATACTAAAAAGAAATTAAACAAAAGAGTACTGAGAAATCCCCAAACACTGTATAATCAACAAGAATGACAGGGCTATACACACACCTGTCAGTAACAGCCCTGCCTATGGATAATCTCAATTGTCCCGTCCAGAGCTATAGACTAGAAGACCAGATTAGAAAACAGAGTTCTTATTTTGCTGCCTCCAAGAAATGCACTTTATGGCTCAAAAGAAGCATCACCTCCTGGTGAATGGGTGGAAGAAAGTATCCTAAGCAAATGGAACCAAGGAAAAGCAGACATTGTTACCCTAATATCAGACAGGATAGACTGAGAACACTTTGCCTCAGAGAAAATAAAGAATGTCACTTCATACTGACCAAGAGAACCATCCATCAAAAGAAAACACAATTCTAAATATATAGGTCCTGAAGGCAGGCTTATCCAATTTCATAAAACAAATACTTCTAGATCTAAAGTCACAGATAAACTCCACCACAATAGTAGTAGGGGACTTCAGTATCTCACTGTCATCAGTAGACATACCAGCTGGGCAAATGTTAATGAATAATCACTGGGATTAAATGACATCAATTGTTTTCTTCAAGTCTACCGTATTTCTTTTTTTTTTTTTTTGTGACAAGGTTTC